TGACAAAATCTACCACCCAAATTCTGATAAAAACTCTCAGCAAAGTGGGAACAGAGGCATCATACCTCAACATAATAAAGGCCATATATGACCGACCTACAGCCAACATCATACTCAATGGGCAAAAACTAAAACCATTTCCATTAAAAACCGGAACAAGACAGGGATGTCCACTTTCACCACTCTTNGCATAATACTGGAAGTCCTAGCAACAGCCATCAGACAGGAAGAAAACATAAAAGGTATCCAAACTGGAAAGGAGGAAGTAAAACTGTCATTATTTGCAGATGACATGATATTGTACATAGAAAACCCTAAAGACTCCATCAAAGTACTACTAGATTTGATAAATGAATTTGGCAAGGTAGCTGGATACAAAATCAACATCCGGAAATCAATGGCATTCTTATACACCAACAATGAACTTTCAGAGAGAGAAACTAAAAAAGCAATACCATTTACCATTGCAACTAAAAAAATAAGATACCTAGGAATAAACTTAACCAAGGATGTAAAAGACCTGTACTCAGAAAACTACGTGACACTGAAAAAAGAAATAGAGGAAGATTTAAACAAGTGGAAGAAGATACCATGCTCATGGATTGGAAGAATTAATATCATTAAAATGTCTATACTACCCAAAGCAATTTATAAATTTAATGCAATTCCTATGAAAATACCAACAGCATATTTCACAGACCTAGAACAAACATTTCAAAAATTTATATGGAACCAAAAAAGACCCCGAATAGCTGCAGCCATCTTGAGAAAAAAGAACGGAGTGGGAGGGATCACATTACCAGACTTCAAACTGTATTACAAAGCCACTGTAATCAAAACGGCCTGGTATTGGTACAACAACAGGCATATAGATCAATGGAACAGAACAGAGACCCCAGAAATAGACCCACGCCATTATGGTCAGTTAATATTTGACAAAGGAGGCAAGAGTATCCAATGGAGTAAAGACAGTCTCTTCAATAAGTGGTGCTGGGAAAATTGGACAGATACATGCAAAAGAATGAAACTAGACCACCAACTTTCACCATACACAAAAATAAACTCAAAATGGATAAAAGACTTAAATGTAAGTCACGAAACCATAAAAATCCTGGAAGAAAACATAGGCAGTAAAGTCACACACATCCCATGTAGTGGACTTTTCACTGATACATCTCCTAGGGCAAGAGAAACAAAAGAAAAAATAAACATATGGGACTACATCAAACTAAAAAGCTTCTGCACAGCAGAAGAAAACAGCCTCAAAATACAAAGGAACCCCACGGTCTGGGAAAACATATTTGCCAAGGATGTATCTGCTAAGGGGCTAATTTCCAAAGTGTATAGAGAACTCACACTACTCAGCAAGAGGAAGACAAACAACCCAATTAAAAAATGGGCAAAGGATCTGAATAGACACTTCTCCAAAGAGGACATACAGATGGCCAAGAGACATATGAGAAAATGCTCAACATCGCTAATCATCAGAGAGATACAAATTAAAAGCACAATGAGGTATCACTTCACACGTGTCAGAATGGCTCCATCAACAAATCAACAAATGACACATGCTGGTGAGGATGTGGGGAAAGGGGAAACCTAGTGCACTGCTGGTGGGAATGCAGACTGGTGCAGGCACTATGGAAGGCAGTATGGAAGGTCCTCAAAAAATTAAAAATGATACTGCCTTTTGATCCAGTGATTTCACTCCTAGGAATGTATCCTAAGAATCCTGAAACATTAATCAGAAAGAATATATGCGCTCCTATGTTCATAGCAGCACAGTTTACAATAGCTGAGATCTGGAAACAGCCCAGGTACCCATCAGTAGATGAGTGGATAAAAAAGCTGTGGGACATATATACCATGGAATGCTATGCAGCTGTAAAGAAGGATCTCATACCCTTTGGGACAGTATGGATGGACCTGGAGAATATTATGCTAAGTGAAATAAGCCAGGCAGAGAAAGACAAACATCACACGATCTTGGTTACATGTGGAATCTAAAGAACTTAATAAACTGATGAACAGAATAGACTCAATGACATGGAAGCATAGGTCACACTGACGAATGTCAGAGGGATGGAGGAAGGCGGATGGGTGGAGGGGGAGAGAGTAACCAAAAAATTTATATGCAGATATGCACAACCCAAGGACACAGACAATGGTGGGGAGAGGGACTGGGAAGGGAGGTAGGACAGGGTGGAGTGGGTCATTGGGGAGAAAAAGGGACATTTGTAATATTTTAAACAAACATAAAATTTAAAAGTAAATACATAAATTAATAAATAAAGGCATTGAAGAATTTAAAAATAAATAAACAATAAACAAATAAAAGCATGTANTAAAATTTAAAAGTAAATACATAAATTAATAAATAAAGGCATTGAAGAATTTAAAAATAAATAAACAATAAACAAATAAAAGCATGTATGGAAACCTGCCCTGCTGGAATGCAAACAGGCAGCAGGTATGAGGAAACAAAGTGTGGGAAGACTGCTGTTTTTTCTTGTGAATTGAAATGGTGTCTGTAGGAATGCTGATGCAATTGTATTTGTAAATCTTATTGTGGTATATATAGTATTGTCATAGGATTGAAGAGAAACACAGTGTTTCCTAATGTAAGTGCTCTGAAAATGTTCATACTGTATATATGAGTATAGTTTGATTTTTTATTTTGGGGTTTGTTTGTGGGTTCAGATTGAAAAATTAAAACAAATCTTACTATATGAAAAATATAAAATAAAATAAAACTCTCTAAAAGCTTCCCATGTGACCTAGGGATAGTAAAAGCCATAGTTCTTACTTTTTTTAGCGGCATATATAATCTGCCACCCACTCAATTCCATCTCATGTCCTATTCTAACTGTTATGAATTCTGTCTCCCAAAAATTCGTATGTTGAATTTGTAAGCCCCAGTACCTCAGAATGTGACAGCATTTGGAGACAGAATCTTTAAAGAGGTAATAAACGCTAAAGAAGGTCATATGAGTGAGCCTTAATCTGATAAAGACTAGTGTTCTTACAAGAAGAGGAGATGAGCCGCACTAAGGCGGTATGAAGTGAAGACACAGCGAGCAGGCAGCTGCCTGCAAGACAAGGAGAGGGGCCTCAGAAGACAAAATCCTGACGAACACCTTGTTTTTGGAGTTCTGGCTTCCAAGACTGTGACAAAAGTAATTTCTGTTGCTTAAGCCACCCAGGCTGTGGTACATGTTACGGCAGCCTGAGCAAACCAATTCACTAACCAACCCGCACACCCCTTAGGTCACTGGGTTCCACTCGCTCTGGCCTCTGGAGTTTTAAACACATTGGGGATGCTCGCCTCAGAGACACTGGCTGCTCCAACTGGAAATCTCTCCCCCAGACACCCAGACCTCATTCACAGATCACAGGGCACATCGCTGAGGTCTTCCCTGAGCATCCTACTACTTGATACAGCACCACTGAACCCCACCGCATCAGCCTTCCCTATACTCTTACTCTGCTTCATTTTCCTTGAAACTCATATTTGTTAATTGACTGTTTCCCCCCAACAAAGAAGAGAGAAATGTTTGTCTGCATCCCAAACATCAAGAATACTACCTGGTACACAGCAGGTCATCAGATATTGTCTGAACATAAAATAATGTTCCCATCGCATTTACCTCTTCAGGAGAGAAAGGACAGCATTC